TTTTTCTTTTTTTTTTCTTCTAGTCAGACATTTAGTTTAACTTCTGAATAATCAGATGTAAAACAACTGATAGGTACACCAAGGCATCAACTCCACTCCAGTGCAGTGGCAGTTTAAAGCAACATGAAGGTTAGTGCTGTAAGTTCAGGTTAAGCCTGGTAATGACAATATGAATATATGTTATATATACAATTTTATCCTATATACTATGTATATCCTAAATGTTATTTATACAATTTTATCCCAATAGGTTAGCAATTGTAAGACTTGGCTATGGCTTTTCTTTTCCCCATTCTCTGAATCGGGGAATATAATTTACATATGTAGACAACAGTAGGTATTTGGATGTTGCTTGGCTTCATGTTGCTTCTGTATTTGTGGCTACAAGCCATGTCCCTTTTATGCAGTGCTGTTCCTGGAGGGACAGCATTACTCAAGGAGAGCAGACCCAGAGTTCAAAACCGGGTGGGGAGAGACTTGCCAGAGGTGGAGCTAAGACTCCAGAAGGAAGGCAGTCAAGCAAATGTGTCTTGCCTAAATGACTGTTAAAGAAGCTCTGTGAAGAATTATCCCTTCATTAAAAACGGATCAGGCCAGAAGAGATCAGAAGAGCTTTTTTTAAGCATTTGGTCTAAAACTCCTTCAGGCTCCTAAAGAAAAATAACTCCATCATAGAACCTGTTCTGTTCACCTGAGTGTGTTTTCCAATGCAAGTTCTTCTGAAAGCCTGGTTTGCACCAAATCTCTGCTGTGAGGTTTACGAACACTACTGAAATGATGCTTGAATGTATTTTTGGCCAGTTTGTCCCTGTTTTCATATGCTAATACACTTCTAGCTATAATAGCTGTCATGTATATATTCATGCATTTTGTTTTACAATCTTGCATGCTATTGAGGTCACATTAACAGGCCTACCGTTGTACTTCTTGTTGTTCCACTCTTCATGAATACTTGTGCTTTTGAGTACATCTGCTAATTCACCCATAGCTGACTACCCTTGTGCTCTGATGCAACATTTCCTGTACGTTTTACCCTTATCCTGTTACAAGAGCTTCAGCAAATGGGACTCAGCAAATGCTGTTTCCTGTATGTTTATAGATCCATAGCTGATGACTTCATCAGTACTTTTCAGTTTCCTTTACTTTTACTGACCTTTCCAGACAGCTGCTAGAATAAAGTACTTAACCTGCAGTGCCCAGCTCCAAACCTATGTGTGGTGCCTCGCGTAGGCTTTTACAGTGTCAATGTTAAGAAATGCCAAGCATACTTCAATTTGAAGATCCTAAGCTCTATAGGAATAGTGTTTTTATTTTCTAGTTCATGTCTAGAAAGTCAGTCTGCAGTCTGGCAATTTCTGGAGAAATATCACTGAGTTTAAATGTCTTATGTTTTGCAGTATGCTCCCTTGAACTGTACTGGCAGGCTTCTTAGTGTGTTTTGTAATTTTTTAGGTTTTCTGTGTTAGTATGGCTAAGTTTTGCAGGAGTATATATATACTATTAAACCTTGACAGTTCAGGGATTTTTCAGTTTTGAGGTTTTCTTCATTTTCATGGGCTAAACATATTCCATGGAAAAAAGCTCTTTTAAAGTAAAAAGGAGGTGGTTGTCTGTTTTATTATTTATCCTCAGTGCAGAGTTCTTTTAAGAAGCAGCATTTGTCGTAGTTTTAGTATGCCTTTCAGGTGCTGAGGCAGGACCACAGTCAGTGGGCACAAACTGATACAGGAAGGTCGGTCTGAACAGTGGGAGACACTTTTTTTTTCAGCATGAGTGTGACTGAGCACAGGGACAGGTTGCCCAAAGAGGTGATAGAGGCTCCATCTGTGAAGATCTAAAACCATCTGAATGTGGTCCTGAGCAAGTGACTCCAGGTGGCTGTGCTTGTGTGCGGGAGTTGGACCAGATGAACTCCAGAGGTCCCTTCCCACTCTGTCATTCCATGGCCTCTGACCTCAAGGGCTGTAGGCACTTCTCTGGTTCTTGGCAGTAGTTACATGAAAATCAGCTGATGATTAGCATTCCTGCTTGATATGCTTGACTGTGGTTAGGCTTGGGCAGGCTGTCCCTTTGTGAGTTCTTAGATGAATGAACTGATGAGTTATTTATCTCTGAGCTAGAAGGATGAGGCTAGAGATGAGCAGACTTTTAATCTCTGGAGTCTTTTGCATATTAGACTGATTCATTAACTTCATAGATATAGTTCAGCCATTTAAACTCAAGGCCCTAACTTCTCATTTATCTTGTTGCTTAATGGTACCTGCTTACTTGTTCTAGAGCTAGATTCAAAGATGAAACCTCATCGCATTAAATACCCATTCTGCTGTGCTGCTTTTAGCAAGGGTAGAAGTATCCACAAAATTGTTCAGCCAGTTGTCAGGATACTGGCAGCTTATTTGCTGAGCATCCTTTTCTGCTTTCTGAAGCACCTAAGGCAAATGTAAGTTACAGAACAGACTGTTCCACAGCAGTGATACTACCTGTACTTCTCATTGCTAGAAATGCCGTTGAAATGTTTGCTGTAGGCTCACCACTGATTTTGATGGCTCAGAAGTCTGCAAATGATCATACAAAGAGTCATTACATTGTCATTGCTCCTAGATAAAAGCTCTCTTCAACCAAGTTGAAAGATAGCATGCAGATGAATTAGCCAAATAAATGAGGTACTGCAAACTCCATCTTGCAATTTTATGTATCTGGTGTGTATGGAAGTAACAGCCTGTGGAAATAGCAGCCTGAAAAATGTATGCTGCAGCAGCAGTCTGCTTGTCAGGTGCTGATGTTTTATTCACAGCAGATCTTTCTAGAGGAAGCATGAATGGGACATAGCTGATTTTTTTTGAGGTTATTTGCTATGGATTTCTTATTCTTTCTGGTGGTAAAGCAAGGTCAATTGGTGCTTCAAATGTGTAATTGAAATCCCTCTTCTGGCAAATGAGACCTGTGGTGCTCAGCGGCAGATGCTGTCTGTGGGAGGCAAATGCCTTTTTCTTTTCTCCTTAACCACTTCTTTATGTTCAAAATGGGTCATGAGAGTCTGTTAGCAGGTCCAGCAGTGGCCAGTGCTGTAACTGGCCATAGCCTTGTGTACTCTTCCCCTCCCCACAGCAGCCCAGTGGCCCTGTTTGTGTTCACAGTGCAGCATGGACTCTGGAGGAGCAAGAGGTGTACAGGAGTGCGCAAGTATTGTAGCTGGGGAGTATAAACAAAGGGTTCAAGTGTGTGAGGCAGTTAATGGGACATAACACCCCATACCCCAGTAAACCAATACTAATAAGCTTTGTAAAGATGACCTGAAAGCTTTGTCTGGGTATTTTCTGATCACCCACATGCTTATCTATGTGTGTGACCAAGCACAGCTGGCAGCTACTTTCACTGTTTGCCTGTAGTGCTGTTGGTGACATCCAGACAAATCTAGGAGCTCCTTTGCTAGAGGTGGTTTCCTGATCCCCTGTAAGACCACTTGAAGATTTTTGTTCCTGCAAGTTAATCACTGATTGTAAACACACTGAGCAGGACAGTGATACAGTTTGAGAGCGACCAATTCCATTATTTTCTGTAGTTTCTTTAGCACTGAGTCTTTGTGCTTATTTCATGGTTGAATTTCTTGACATCCATAGATAGGTGCCAGATGATGAAAAATTGTGTGTGCTGCATTGCAGTTAACTGTAATTGTCATATTCTGCCAGTCCTCTTGCCTTTGTTGTGGAGTTCAGTGGTGTGGGTCTCTATGGAAATGGGATTAGATCTGGCTGTCTGGCATCACTTTCTCTTGGAATGGTGACCAACTTTGAGTAAAGGCACTTGAATAAACTGCTGGAAGTGCCTTTTCAAAGCTTCTGGCACAGATGAATTTCACTACAGAAACTCTAGGGGAAGTTCTGTTTCTGTGCTGGTAAATTATTTTTAACTGGTCAGGGAAAAGGAAGTAACGACCATATCATTGTATAATAATTCAGGCTAGAAGGAGCCTCAGGAGGTCATCTAGTCTAGCCTGCTGCTTAAAGCAGGATCAGTTTTGTTGTGAATGTATTTATACTCCTTTTACTTAATATCTTTTTCACCCTCTTTCTTCTATTTGCTTCATCTCCATGCAAACACATATTTGGCAGTACCAGCCCCAGATGAGCACACTGAGGTGAAGATTGAGTGCATACAGATGGTGACTGAATTACTTTCACAGAAGCCTGCTTGAAAAAAAAAAAAAAAAATCTTCAGCCAGGTCTCACCTGCCTGCTCACAAGAGTCTGTCTGTATGAACTGCAAAATGTTTCCACAGTCTAGACAGTGTGTCAAGATTAAGTATTTAAATTATCCATCTCCCAAGCACAATGAGGCTGAAATGCAACTGCTAAATACTATTTGTCTTGTTATCGAGGTGAATTTGTTTGAAAAACTGTTCTATAATCCGGGGGACAGTATCACAAGTAGTAGGTAGATTGTCTTTTTTTTTTTTTTTTTTTTCTGATGTAAGGGAAATGTCACCTTTGTCAGCACTTGGCAGTCTCCCATTTTAGCTCAAATGCAAGTTGAAGGTTAATACTCCAGGTATTTCAGAAATTCCTGTTTTCTTAATTATCATTCCTGTTGCTTTTTCTGTTGTCCTCTTCCTCTGTAGCATAATGTTTATAATTCTTAAGGTAATTAGCTAGCTTTTAGCACATGACTGGAGCATAGTTAGGATAACTATTTTATGTAGATTTACCTAAAGTTTAAATTACTTAGCAGATGCAGGGAAAGCAGAGTGTCTGAAGTGGCATAGACATCAGTGTAGCATACTTATTTGCATATTTGTATAGAGGCCTTAAAAGTTCTGTGATTCTTGACTGCCATGGCAATGTAACTCATTTAATGAAATAGTCAATGTAAGCTGACTGGTATGTATATAGAGATGTAATTAATGGAATGCTTATAAAAGGATATAATATACATGCTTTTTTTCTAGCTTCTCTTTGTATTACTCGAGCACTTACTGTAGTGATTAACTTCTACAAAATCAATTTATGTCTTATAGCTTGCCTTGAAGGGATCTAACTATGCTGGTCTGCTGGAGCGGCATCGCATTCATACAGAAAATGTGGAGCATGTTGTAGACAGTTTACGGTAAGAATATAGGGATGTTGAGAATTTCAGACACAGTGCAAATATCCATAGATTGTGTAAAAGAACAAAAGGAAGCTTTGTGTTACAAGCTCTAATAAAATAGGAATACAGAAAACAGGATGATGCAGATGCATTCCTGAAACAATTGTAATGTGAACTAGCTCAGTTTAATTAACACACTATGTTATTCTCTTGAAAACAAATGAAAAAGAAGTAAAAGATGTTTATCGGCCATTTACCACTGTAATTAGTTCCTAATTACATGTCAGTTTTTCAGAAGGATGTGACAAGGAACAATGTAAGATACATTTAGGCTTTTCCTGCACTTTATAGGAATGAGAGGATAGAAGTCCGTCTTGTTAAACGTCGAGAATATAATGAAGAGACTGTTCGGTGGGCAGATGCTGTTATATCAGCAGGAGGTACGACTTTGTGGAAGGAAAGTATTTTGGTACATTTTCATAGATACATTTTTCAAAAATATTTTGCAGTGTGTGAAGTGTCTGGAGGTATGCACATTTTGAAAAAAGATTGTGTATCTAATTGTTGGAAAATATGACAAAATGCAGTGGTTGTGACCATCATTTCTGTGTCTAGTATCTAAAATTTTAACACTGGGAAGGGATCCCAGTGCATGGCCGCTTTGGAAATGTTTAATTATCTTGTGTGAAACAGTATAAACTGTGGAATTTACTATAGTTTTCAACTGAAGAGGATAAAATGCTTGATGTCATGTGATTATGCATAGCCCTAAACCATACTCTTTGGGTTTTGGTATGTAAGGTGGAGACTAACATACTACCTTTTCCTCCCTTTGCTCAAACTCCCTCTTTCTTGCTTTCACACTTAATTCCAGTGACTAGAGTATCTAGTTGGAGATTAAAGTGCTAATTTGGCTGTGGCAACATTTGTCACAGTGATGAGACAAGTAGCTGGGAAGTGATACACCATCCAAGGTTTTCAGATCTTGGTGCAAAGATCAATTCAGATTATAGTTGTCCTTCTGTTTAACAGACAGGAAAGTGTACCAGTATTTGAAGAAACCAGCGACACTTTAAGATTTCTACTTCAACAGTTTTATCTAAGACTTTTTTTCCAAGCTTGCCTATTTGGGGCAAAATAAGACCTTTAAATTGTTCCTTCTAGGAGAGCAATTGAGATGGAAATAAAGTCATTGTTTTCATATGATTCACAGTAAAATTTGTTATTGTTTCCTGTGTCCTGTTGCTTTGATTAGTAATACTTTCTAAATTTATTTTCTCAAAGTATATCTTTTACTAGCTGATAAGTATACAGAAATTTCCATAAATCTCATTTCAGACTTGCTTCTGCCAAATTCAGTTGCCCGGACATGTATAGTTGTCAGATAAGTTGTACTTTTTCTAATCACATTTGCCATCTTGGATTCAGTTGTCACTACTCTGCTTTGAAGATGTCAGTAGTTTTGTGGTCCATTTTAGCTTTTGTGCAGCTTACCTGATAGGTTGTTCATATAAAAGCACTTAGTGATAATGTTGTGGTACCTGTGAGACTATTTTGTTTGGGATACTAGAATGTGAAATGAAACTAACTTTTGTTTTGCTTTTTCTGCAGGTGATGGTACAATGTTGTTGGCAGCCAGTAAGGTCTTTGATAAATTTAAACCAGTTATTGGAGTAAATACTGATCCTGAAAGGTAAAAACACACTTGGGAAAACAATGCTTTACTTAATATCAGGCACAATATGCATCTGCTTTCATGATGCATGAGGCATGCCTGTAGCAGTGTCTGTTTTAGTGGATTGTATATATATCAAGTGAACCCGTTATTTTATTAGCAGATTTTCCACAATGAGTTATCCTGTCTCATCTGAGAGGACATTAAGTAGTATTGGATAAGCATGACTCTGTTAAACAGCTGTTTTCACACACCAGTGTAACAGCAGTTGCAGTAGTTAACCTCTATTACTAGCTAGAAGTGTTAGGCTAGAGATGGCAGTATAGAACAGACAGGTAAAGGGACTTAACAAAAGCAACCAGGTGTGGTACCTGAATACACAGAAATTTTGTTTCTGTATGAAGAAGGCGAATCCTATTGGAAATCTGATAGGGCCTCAGATGAATAAGTTTGTTCTGGTTTCTTCACGTAAACCATATCATTCCTCAGAGGACGCTGTCTTCTCAGCCAATTAATGGCATTTAGTTGTCCTATTATAAACTCCATGCAAGCTGCATCCACCTAGCCGTAAGATTGATTTGGGCAGGTGGATGCAGTGTGTAAGTACTGCCTGGTTGGTATAACTTTCAAATGGATGGCAAGTAAAACTCAGAATTCACCAAGGTGCTGTCTGCTGAGATTTCCAGATTTAGGTTTCTACTTTTGATATTACCGGTTAATTTAGTCTTAGTATGTAAGAAAGTGGTGGTTAGAAGTTTTAATTTCTTCCATACCTTACTCCTCTTCCAAAACTTTTCAAATGCTGTGAATAGATATTCTACAGTATCAGGCCTGAGGTTCAAATAACAAGTGCCTTCAAGTTATCAAATATCACTCATGAAAGGGGAGCAGTATTTAGTCTCTGGCTTTGACATGAGATTCTTTTGATCTTAGGCATGTTGCTTACCTGTCTTGTATCACTAACTTGCATGTAAAAGGAGGAAATCTTTCTAAATTGCAAGGTTTATTGAGTTTGAATTCCTTGCCTAGAACTATGGCGACAGGAACTATATTAGTACCTACATACTCCTTCAGGATTACTAGCTGAACAGCCAGCTTTTAGGGGAAATGTGGGAGAAACATCTTATGTCTCACACACATACATGCAAGGCTCTGAAAGTGTATTATTGCTGATAATGCTATTATGTAAGAGTAGTATAGGTTCATAAAGGTCAATGTGTAGCTTAGCTTTATGTAACAGAAAGAGATGTTTGTTTTATTTTTTAAAGATACCAAATCTTAATACTGTCATTTTTATTGTCCATTTTTGATACCAGATCAGAGGGTCACTTGTGCTTGCCTGTGAGATACACACACTCATTTCCTGAAGCACTACAGAAGCTTTATCGTGGTGAGTTCAGGTAGGATTCACTGATCTTTGGTTTTCCAAAACATACTATGATTGGAAAATACTTAATCATGAGAATTCCTAAGGAGCTTAGTAAAATCTTAATGCCTCAAATTGTGAATTGTGTGTAGATGTTTACCATGTTGAAAAATGGGTTTGTGAATGCGTGAGCTGACGCAGGCAGGATGCAGGAGCAGCCACAAACCATGGATGAAATGCAAAGAATAAGTTTATTCTCGTTACCTTGTGACCTGGGGGATCTCCAGAGCAGCACCTAGGCAGAGGCATGCAAGTAGGGATGCAGACACTGCGGAGCTCAGTCCTTGCTAGCCAGAAAGAGGAGGAGAAAGAAAACCATCTTGAACCGGCTGCTTTTACCTGTACATATCAGGGATTTTCTCAGGTGTAGTTTTTTGCTGTGCTTTAATTATTCGCACAGCAGGGCAGGAATCTCATGCATGTTTGATAAAGTGCCTCTGAGTCTATCACAGGTCTTTGTTATCTAAATGGAGATGTTCTACCCATCAAGCACACAAAGCTAAACAACAGTTAGTATCATATATGTGTTTTTCAACACCCCAGCTGCAAGTCACTTGAGCATGTTAACAGTCCTCCTCACCAATCTTCCATTGTATTCCCCAGTGGTCAAGAGTGAGATTGGAAGACAAAGAATAAAACTGACTGCCAGTTCCAGAAAAAAGGCTTTTGTTATGACCTCGAATAATTGATTTTCTTTTGTGATTAGCAAATTCATAAATGAGGAACTGCATTCTTGTAAAGGGTGTATTGGTTTATATATTTTAACACTCAAAAGCATATGTAGTACAGTGATGGGACATACTAATAGAAGTTGATGAAGCCTATATACCTAGGAAATGGTCAGTGTATTGCAACTGGGGTTTTGGTGATTAAGCTAGAGTGGCTTAAATTCTGTTAACAGCTTAGTGTAAGGCAAAGTTTTTCTTTAGGCTTAAGACAGCTTGATTTTTTCAATACTAGATATTCTTGAAATAGAAAAATCTCACTTGAATTAAGAAGGAAGCAAGCTGAATTTTAAAGCACAGACTAGGGAAGAGTATTGTAATAACTATTTTAAAGGAGACATTTTTCTGTGTTGTATTAACATTCCAGAATACATTTAGATGGAAAACTATCAAACAGAAATGAGCCATTCATGTGAAAATATATTGCAATTGGGTTTTGTTTATAGTTTGCAAATTTAATTTTTAGCTTGAAATGTAACTGTGTTGTAGAAAAGCTCTGAAATGAGGTGAATACAGTCGTCAGGATTGATTATAAATAACTGAAGGGGTTTCAGTAGGTATTGCTAAATGAAAGGGTACTTTCAACTCACATATTCTGAGACTTATAAAACAGAAACTTTTAACTTTCCATCATGCTAAGTTGCTTAGGTAAAGCTGGTAGTGCTAATGCAGGTAACCATGATAATCTAGGGACTTCTGATGTTTTGTTGGATGCCGTGTTGTATTTTTATTGCTGGCACTGCTGTTGTTGCTCATTATGGAGCTGGAGCCTCACCAGAGTGAAACAGAAAGGATCTCCATGGTTATTTTCTGAGAGTAATAGGAATTGGTATTCCTAAGCAAGGACCTTGGCAGTTCTCAGGTATAGGCCCTAAGAAAACTTTAAAATAGGTAACTGGATCAGCCTGTCTGGAAGAGCTTCTGGTGTCTCAGAGTTGCATAGGGATGGTGAGGTGCCAAAGATTGGAAAAGGGGAAGTGTCAGTACAACAGTCAGTGTAAGCACTTACCTTGTAGTCCCATGAAACAACCAACATTATTGCTTTGTAAAGGACAAACTATATCAGGCTACCCATGGGGCTTTTTTTTTTGACGGTCACTGTGTAACAGTATCTCAGAATAGGGATATAATAGGAGTACAGTGCCAGTTTTCAATTTTATAGGGGTTTCGACATGTTCTAGCATGAGTATTGTAAGGAGGCTAGCATAGTGATACTCATTGCGTGCTGTCTGCCTGACTACCTAAAAACATACTTGGAATTTGAGGGCAGATAAGTAGTTATAATAAGGGTGTGTTGAATGTGGCTCTACAAGGATGACGAGGTAAAACTGGTGATGTGATCATATGAAGTGTAAGTGTTCCTTGGTGTAATTTCAGGAAGCATAAACTGGTTGTTGTCACCTGGGTATCAACAGTATGAACTGGGAAAAGATGTTCTTTTAACACTCTGTTGTGATTTGCTTTCTCAATCAAAACTACTATTACTATTTTGTTTTATATAATCTCTAAATAGTAAGAGGGAAAAGGAATTGATACCTCCTCTAGCAAAAAACAAAAAAATCTGAATCTTGTAATAGCTTAAGATATCCGTCTCTTTCTTCATTTGAATTCATCTTAAGCATCCTAAAGTTCCTAGGCTAGGAGAGGCTTTTAAAATGAGAGGATACTTGTGGCCCTTATTTACAAAGGTGTGGATATAGCTGCTTCTCTGAACATCTACAAATACAAACAAAAGATGGTAAAATTACAGCATGTATTGCTGTATAAATTCCTGAGAGCTTGTTGTTCTCAAAATCATTGCATCAATTGTGAATTCATAAGTTAGGATCACATGCCTAAAAATATGAGTTATCTTTAATGTTTGTGGACTAGCTTTGGCCAGTGTCCTCTTATTTTACACATACAAAAAACATTAGGTAGCAAATTGGTAAGTGTAATGTATTTACATTTTATTATGATTAGCTTTCTAAATTCGGAAATTACAGTGGAAGCTATAAAACTTGAAATGTGACTTTCAATATATTTAACTTGATACTCTTCTTTGAGAGTTAATACTCTCTGATCCTGTCTAATTCTGTAATAAGTATTTCAGCTACTGATACCAACTTCTTTCTCCTCTCTAAGGTGGCAGTGGCGACAAAGAATCCGACTGTATCTTGAAGGAACTGGTATTAACCCAACCCCTGTAGATTTACATGAACAGCAGCTGAGCCAAGAGCAACACAGCAGGGCTCACATAAATGAAAGATTCCAGGATCAAAGTAGGTGAAAATCTGACAAGAATATAATAATTTTGCTATGATAGCTTGGAATAGGAGATAAAGATTTGTAAGAGTTGAAGTATTTGAAGTCTGGCATTTGAGAGGCAGGGAGAGACATCTCTCATTAGCTGATCATCCAGATTGAGGTTTTTTTAGAAGGGAGTATTTTTTCTTTCTATATGTTTATTCTGGACTGTACACTTAAAACAGGTTTTCAGTATTGTTAGAGATGTTTTAAAATAGTATTATCTGCTGGCAAAATACCTGAGTGTTTTTAAAGTGCTGTCTTCTAGGGTTACTACAGACATGAACATCTTACCATACATTTAGCTTCACCACACTAGAAGTGTGTGTGTGTGTGTGTGTGCGCGCAAGAGAGAGTGCTTGTGCTGAATTTGAGGTGGATTACTTCACAGTTGAAAAAGCTGATCACAGACTGACAGCAAGCAAATGAAAAATTAGTAGTGATAATCTCTGTCTGGGTAGTTCTTTGGTCATCAGACACCTTCAGCTGTTTTCTTTGTCATGGATGGAAGATGCATGATTCTGTCCTTCACCTGTGTCTAGCACTGCATTTCCTCACTGAGAGTCCTTAGTCAACATAAACAATTTGTTAATCCCCCTTAACTACCCTGTGGTATAAAGTCTGATTCTTTGAACTTTATCAGAAATGTCTGTTAAGCCACTGTCAGTGAATTTAACTAGGCTGGAAGAATTGATAGAAGAGAAGGCTTCCATCTGTCTGGTTGCCCATGAGTTTTCAGGGAAAGCAATAGCTGACCTTAAGTGTCATTGTCTTATTGACCTTGGTTCAAATATTTATAGCTTCTAATGAAGGGCAGTGACTGACTACAGACTAAGTCAGTGAATAATTGAGTCCTTGAAGAAAATAGAGCACTAGATCTAGAATACAAACCCAAGCAGCAGAGTGTGTCCTCCGATGAGTTGTGGATTGGTTTTGAAAATTTCGCTTTTTAGAGCCATTATTGAAAACTGTTATGTTCCATATCTGCAGGATCTGACATTTCTGGTCCACATCTTTTACCAGTGAGAGCACTCAATGAAGTCTTCATTGGGGAATCTCTTTCATCCAGGTATGTTTAATTGTTTGTTCTTGAAGCAAGGCACAATTGACTTAATTTATTTTTATGACATTGCACTGGACAAATGAGCGCTGGGATGTCTGCTGTCAAATTTCAGTTCTAGTCTGTGAACATATAACACATTGTATTTTTGATTACAAAGTGTATTTTCAGAGATGTAAGTGCAATGATGTTACTTTCAGTTTTTCCACCTTCCTGTCTGGCCATTCCCTCATTACTCCCATCTGTTTTCTTTCTGCTTCATTGTTTTACTGCTTTTCAGATTAGTTATTATGTAACCAGATGCCTTCAGTTACTGTCTTTACAGTGGATTGAAGATTTAAATATCTGTCCTTAAACTGCCTCCTCTCTTCCATCTCTTCTTAAATATCTTTTCATAAGCTTTTAGCATGACCCAAGTACTCCTTTCTCTGCCTCTGGGTCATTAGAGGCAAAGGTATCAGCCTGCCTTTGACAGAAGCTTTGTTATTGTGGGAAAACACTTATTTCCTTGTATTAAGAAACAAGTTTGTATCAAATCCTGCTACTGTATTATCCAGGATACCTTTGACGTCCTGAAGATCAATGTATTTCAGCCAGCCAAATTATAACAAGATAACATTAAAAGGATGTGGGGAATGTGATTTGGGGCTGTGGGAAAGGAGTTAAAACATGATCCTTGATCAGGATTTGGCCAAATTTTTACTTGTGTTTCATATCCCTTTTCCCCCTTATTCTGTTGGGGTTTTTTTTAAACCTCAGAGTGTAACATTTTCTTGTGTTTGTACAGTGCCTGGGACACTGTGATTGCTACTGGAAACAGTATAAATGTTCCATGAGTGCTTTATCTTCCATCTGGACTGCAGCCTCAGACTGGCAGAAGGAATTGGTCTCAAAGAGATACAAATTTTGCTCTCCACTAAATCAAACCTAATTTTCAGAAAGATTTTTAAAAGTTTCTTTAACATACAGTGATAGAAAAACACAAAGCTGCTTCCAACACTTTACAATAGCCTTCTACTGCATGTCACAAATAAATTGTGCTCTTTGATTCTGGTATATTTCAAGAGCATTGAGGAACACAAAGCTTGTAGGAACAAATCTCTAGTAATATTGTGTTAATACGACTTCACACTCGAAGACTTAAATGATGATGTCACACAGATGAATCTTCTGTAAGGTTCAAATACATGTCTGATGTATATTAAGACAAAATGACTCTAGGTGCTTCTTCCAAGCAGTTATTCTGCATGTCAGTTAAGAAAACAATGAAATTGAAGACAAAAAAAAGAAACTTTTCATACCCAGCTTGCAAAAATTATCTTAAACTGAATCAAGCTATGCACCTGTGTTCTTAATTTGCTTCCATTTCTTTCATTTTCCCATCTTCTCAAGAGTTGAGTACACAAAATGCCCTTACTTAGAGTCTAAACTCTTTGACACCAAATATTAAAGAGGTGCATTCCTAGGTGATCCAAACTGAAACATTCATCACCTAAACAGCTCAGTAAGCTCCTTTTACTAAGAAAGATGAAACTCAGTGATATTGAACACCGTGAATGTGGTGTTTTTCTAGGAGAGTATCTATTAATCAGAGGACTATATCATACCATTTGAATTAGACACTATGAACAACATTCGTACCTGAATATACCCTTGGATGTTCTGAAGTTTACAGAGTGAGACTGGTCTTTCTGGGCCCAACATTAGGAATCACCTGGTATATGAATAACACCATGAAGAGTGATGATTGTGCCCCAAGACTTAGTACATTTGAGTTCTAGGAAGAATTTGCCCTGGAGGGAAATGTGTGCTGACTGTTGTAAAACTAAAACTGTTCTTGAAGAATCACAGCGGATTTTTAATTAATGAATTGATCAAGAATTCAGCTTGAACCCGTGCTATTACTGACATTGGAGTGTCTTACCTCTTAGTGTTCCCTGATTTAATTTTATGAGACAATTACAGCATAAACGGGTTTTTTTTGTAGTTTGACAATTATGCAAGGAAGGTAATGTATTTGTATACAGTTTCATTTGTTCCAGCAAACCCTGCTTGTATATAGAGCTGTTCTCAGATGAACCACAGAGTTCTTTGTGCATAATTTAATATGAAAAGTGGCTGCAGAAAAACTGCCTGAAAGTTCATGCTGCAAATCACTTTTGTTCATTATAAGAACTGCTATAAAACAGTGAATCAAAAGTGGCTGCTAAATTGGAAACACTGTGCAAAGCCTGTGAAATTGTCATCCAGATTTTAAACTAGCCCATCTAAATTTTTATGTGCCTGATAAGGCTGTGTGTTCTGTCTTATTCAGGGAGAACTTTAAGTCCTGCAAACCCAGTTTTAAATTCTCGCTTCATAGGGCCTCCTATTATGAGATATCAGTTGATGATGGTCCTTGGGAAAAACAGAAGAGTTCAGGGCTTAATGTCTGTACTGGAACAGGATCAAAAGCATGGTAAGTACATGTTGCTGCTTTCATATAAAATATTGCTTCAGATAAGCTAGATGGACCTATTTTACTTAAGCGTTTTGTACATACTGAGACTTTTCTGGGCTATGGATGAGTCAGTGCCTGTCAGTTATGTCTAAATATTCTCACTGTTGATATGGTTCAAAGCTGTTTCAGGTGTATAAGAAGAGCAGAGCACCCCTCACTCGTAGGTATAGAGAGAAGTCTTGAAAGGGAGAGGAGCCATGGCATTGAGACAGAAGCTTACCTTGCATGTATTTTTAGTGAAAGAGGTTACATGCCACACGTGGAGGTGAATGGTTGGGAGTGGTGAGGGAAAGATTCTGCTCTGACTTGCAGAGCATATCAGTGGGATCTCTGAACTACTCTTGTTGGCTAAAATTAAAATGCTTAGATGAAGTAGCTTAGAAAAGTTATAAAAATCTAAGTTTTAAGAAGAATGGGAAAACATGTACTTAGATACAGTGTTCTCTGGCACATCTATTGTCCATTCTGTTTCCAAGCCTCTTGCCTCTTTCAAACTTAATTGAAAGGGCACAGTCTCTTTGACAAAATGTTCCCCCTAAACAAAGGCGGGCATATCTAAGCAGAGCTGTGCTAGCTTAATCAAAGGGGTAAATTATCTTAACTTCAGTTTAAACAAGCTGCAGTACTGTATTTAAATCTAATCAATTTAGTTTTGAGATGTGGGAGACATATACAGTGAGAGCCTTTTTCATTTGGAAATCTGACTGCTTATAGTTTAAAGTTGTACAACAGGCCCTGGATTCATGTGGCAAGCTAAGATGAACTAAAACTGAAGCTTTTAATTAAATCCAAAAATGAATATTCATGCTGTAACCATGGTTACTGGGTTTTACTCTTCATTGTAATTCAGAATTTTGTATTCAGTCAGTATAACTTAGTTCTGGAGGCTGCCAAGGATTAAATTGGCAGACCTGCTAGAGGAACTTTCCTAGCATTCAGTACCTTAGGAATGTACAGTCTTAGTTCAAAGCTGTTCTTATGCATATCATTTGTTTATACACTATACTGAGCAATCCTAGAATTAGGGACCAAACTCCAGGATTGCCCATCTCCATTGCTCTAACCAGTGTGTACTGCTGGACTTCTCTAAACTGAGGCCAAGATCACTCCTCAGTGGAGTGATCTTTCTTAGCCTGTGGTTTAGGGGCTCTCCAGGAATTTCAGACCTTCTCAGACTGAGAACCATTTAAATGTCCAAATACTTCCTTCAGCTGCCAAAACTTGCATAAAAGGATATCTAGTTGAGAAAGAGAACAGTTTCAAACTGTGCATCTCAGTTTCTTGCTAGCATGTGCTCAGGCCTGCAGGTAGGCAGTGAGTGTAATAGAGCCTTGGACAACCACCCTCAGCAGCTCTGTAGTCTCTTAGATGTAGAGTGGGTGTCTGTTGCAGTCTGAGGTGTTCTACTGCAAGTGCTGGACTGAGGATTTTAAGCTGTATTGAGAGCTGGGCAGGTGAGATGTTCACAGTACTGCTGCATGGAGGCTGTAATTAGTACCTAATCCCTTTTGAGCCTGAGCACAGGAGAGAGACTTTACTGGAGTTTAGACTTCGTTCAGACCAAGGCTTTATGCTGAATTGTTGTGCATCTAAATGTGGCAAATGCAAAAGTGTCTGATCTGACTGTTCCTTTTCTGCATACACTGATTCTTGTGAAATTCAAGCCCACATCTTAGGGTGTGGAGTAAGAGCCATAATATTTATAAAGAAGTGTTTGGACCATAAATGAGAACTAACAGAAGGAATTAATTAGCAAGAGGTAGATAGGAGGGATAAGAAAAGAACACACTCAATCTGTAGAACTATCGTGCTTCATTTTTTTTTTAATGCAGACTTACATCAGCAGTTATTGGAATTTTAAAGCAGAAGGATTATTGATAAGGAGAGTACATCCTGTGCATCATTAATTTCTTTCCTGAAGACTTCACTTAAGGGATTATTAAGGTTTACAAAGCTACAGATATATATCAAACCAAGAGTTAATTTAAGGCATTTTTTAAAAGAAACTGGTGTCAGCTCTCACTTAATAGCATTTTTTTTCTTCCTGATGTTGAACATAGTTTTTCATCTGTATGCAGGATTTTTTTGGCTTATTTTTGTTTTGGTTTTATCCTAAGTTTTATTTCCTAGCAAACAAGACTTCTACTTCTCTGTCTAGGTCCTATAATATTAACAAGATAGCACATCAAGCTGTTGAAGAGATCCTTAAAATTGGTGAGTGAACAGTGTGGTATTACTGGCCAAGTTTATATAAAGATACACCTACCTAACTGGGGCTCTTTCTCTTGGCTCAACAGCTAAAAAGCATGGAAGTTTGAATACGCCATTGAATGCGGAACTAGTACAAAAAGGTTAGTGAAAATGGCAAGATTTCTTTAAGGTATCTTAATTTTGACCAGTTCATTTTGTTTGGATTCCTAATAGTTAACACCAATTTCAGTATTTTAGCACTCTTTTAATACTAGTCTTTGTTACAAACTTTATTTAGACACATTTGATGAGAAATGTCTGACTTGATATGAAAGCACTTATTTAGACTTTTGTAGGTATAGATCTTCAGGAGAATTTGGTTTCTCCAAAGGTTTGAGACACTTATTCACCTAAAGAGAACTGTTGAGTGTTAATCATGAAATAGAACTGAAAGGAGATTTCTGTAAAATTAATTTTTTTTTTTTCAGGTGAAAGCTATTAAACATCTGGCAAGACTCAATATTTCCTCTCAATAGAGAAGGTGTTCTTTCCTGGAGGAATGTGTTTCTGAGAATAACTTAATTTTCTCTGCAAAAAGTAATGGCTGATTTCTCTATTTACAGTAACAAATGATTACAATGAGTCCCTGCTCTACAGTCCAGAAGAACCAAAGATGTTTTTCAGTATTAGAGAACCTATTGTAAATAGAGTTTTCTCAAGTAGCCGGCAGCGTGGCTTCTCTTCAAAGTAAGTGTTGGCTGTAGCAGTCGCTGAAGAGTTATTTCATTCTGTGTATTTGTCAAAATATGAGTAATCCAGGGGCTCCCCTTGAAGTGTTTCAACATCCAGTTTGTGTTTTGAGGGGCCTGAGTATTGTTCTCGGAATAACAGGAAGAAAATGTTTCCAAGCTGTGTAATGCCTTTTTAATGTTTAATCCATACACAATCTTATAGAATAAAAGAATCTCACTGTGCCCAGCTTTGGGTGTGTGCCATTTCCCTCAGTATGAGACACAGGCACTGACAAACTGGAGTGAATTCAGGAAGGGGCCACTGAGATGATTACAGGGCCAAAACACGTGGTGTATAAAGGAGCTACTCAAACTGTGCTTTTATTTAGTCTGGAGAAGACAAGACTAAGCAGGGCGGATCCAGTTGCTGTCTTCAGCTACCAATGATGGTTACAGAGGAGAATGAGTTAAAAACTCTTTTCAGAGCAGAATATGAGCCAACAGCCATGATTTGATAGGATGCAGGATTCTGATATAAAAGGGAAAAAATTCACAGTAAGAGTGGTCAGGCAGTAGAAAAGGTTGCCCAGAGATTCTTCTATCACTGACTTTGGAGATACTCAAAATTTGGCCGGGCAAGGCCCTAAACAACCTAATCTGTCTTTGAAGTAAGGCCTGCTTTGAGTTGAAGGTTGAACTAGATGTCCTTCCAACCCAAATTATTTGATAATTCAGTCATTTTAACTTAGGGCATTTGTACTAGGGGATATTTAGATATCAGGAAGAATTTCTTCACTGAAAGGGTTGTCATGCACTGCAACAGGCTGTCCAGGGCAGTGGTTCGCTGTCCCTGGAGGTATTTAAAAGACCTGTAGATGTGGCAATTAGGGACATGGTTTTGTGGTGGACTTGGCAGTTTTAGGTTAATGGTTGGACTCAGTATTTCCAACCTAAATGATTCTGTGATTTTTCTGGAGCTTGCCACAATTAAATATAAACACACACAACTGTTAGTTATATGTTCAGAATAACTATGTTGAGAACAATACAATATCTCAGTATTGTTAATTCAACCTTTTATATCAAAATAAACGTCTAAAGGAGCTCTGACTCAAAGGAGATGCAATTCTGCTTCTTTTCAGCCACATCATTTTTAGAACAATATTTTATAACCTAGTATTAAAGGACATCTCTGGCTACTGGGACTAAATATTACAATATTAGATGCCCACTGTGTATGTGTCATGTCTTGAAACATTTACTGTTTCTAAGTCATTTGGATCTGGGAGTTCTCAAGGGTGAGTAAATTTTAAGAGTTGGTAAGAGGAGAAATTAAAATAGGCGCAAGTAACTGCATTTTCATCCATGGGTTCTGCAGGACTACATCTTGTCTAATCTGGAGTCCTCTGCATGATATATATTATAAAAACTACTTTGGAGCTATAAATGTCTACATACCTATGAGGGATATCTGTCCGTTTTTCCTTTTTAAAGTAGAATTTGATGTCACAGTGAATCCTTAGCTCTTGATATTAGACATCCCTCCATTGCTATTCTTTATCTTTTTTGACATAATAGCTGCCCAGAGTGAAATGGAGTGGTACATGCCTCCACATTCCTTGGTGTCGAGATTTGGCTGTGTTTTAGTGATGCACAGGCCAATTAAGCTTTAACACTGTGGCTGTGCTTCCAGGTTTTTTAGTATTTGTTAAACATGTGTCTTCCTGAAAACTAAGTCACTGGATAATTGTTGAATAAATTTTGGAGATCAGAACTTCGTCTTGACTAAGACCTAAGTCAGAAACAATCAAGTCCATCCATGTGAGCCTGCAGTCTTGCAGCTGCTCTGGCATAACTATTGGTTCCTACTTAGCAATATGAAAAAAGTTTGGAGACCTTCAACTTTGTGTCTTAAATTACTTTCCCTTCTCTCTGTGAATGTTTCATGTAACAAAATAGACTATTAGTATCCATATTATTTGAATCTCAAGCATTGCTAGTTGAAACTGAATATTCCACTTAACATGAAGACCATACATTAGTATCACAAATTAATTGAAAACTTTTCTATGAAAGATTAAGAAAATCACTATTAAATGGGGTCATCAGTAGCTTTTTTTAAAAAATACACCTAAATTTTTTGCAGCTTTCGATATCAAGTGTTATGTTGTAGGCTGTTCTCAGACTCTTGGAGCAATAGTCTTCATTTGAGCAAGTCTTTAAATCCTCTCTGGGCTCTTTGCTAAGTATATACAAAGTACTGATAGGGTGGGAGATTCTAGGGCTTAGTATCATGCTAAATTCTTCTAAGTGTGCTCCTGTCTGATTAAGCTTTTACTGACCCCTGCATGTCCAAGAACCAGTCTTATTGTTCAGGTAGGTGCTTGTGTGAAATACTTTTCACATAACAGTTTAAAAAAAACCCCAACAACTTATTTTTTTGTGTTTTGCAGAGTCTGTGTTCGTTCCCGTTGTTGGGACGCATGTATGGTTGTAGATGGAGGAACATCTTTTGAGTTCAATGATGGGGCGATAGCTTCAATAATGATTGATACAGAGGATGCACTGTGCACTGTTCTGCTGGAAGAATGAAGGACCCTAGTTTCTTCTGCTGAAACAATGCTGGATCCAGAGGGAGAACTCCTGGAGATAGACAGCACATCACCATGCTGCATTACGTTGGAAGCTGGCCTTTTTGGATGCAAGAGTATTTGAAGGAAGTTTTGATCAGTTTTTCATTCCTTTGGGTTGGTGAAACCTTAGCCTCATATTTAAGCTCTATTTGCATCTGATGTAAAAGAAATATATCTGAAGTCTTACCTCTAACTTCAGTGAAAATTGACATTTTAACCTGTAAGGCAAACATGAAAGAATATCTTTTTAAACACAGGTAGATGGATTCAAGTATTAAGTCAGTAGCATTAAATATTCAGATGTACAGTTTTTTAGTAACAGTCTGGGACTGATGAACCTGAACACCTTCATACGTATACTTTTGTAGAACCGTTGGCTGTCAATCTAGCAAGGATATATAGATTTTGGAAAATCCTGATGTTGATGTAATAGAAATGGAAATACAAACCTTTTGTATGCTTCTCAAAAATTTTACAACTTTGTAGTTTCATACAACTTGTGACATTTTTTTTTTCTCTTTTAGTATTTTTTCTACTTTGTAGATTTACATAAAAAGTAAAAGTCTGGCTTAGTCACACCTTGAATGAGGTAGCTCTTACCCTTCTCCTTGGCTAGAGAGGGACTTGAAACCCAAGGGTTTTCTTGAGCCCTTTAATAGGCATATACAAACAAAAGGAAACATGACGAAGGAAGATACACTCCTTCACTGAATGGATTAGCTGGCTAGCAAGTGTTCAGTCACAGTAGCATATATGTAAGTGGCTATCATTAAGAAAGATATTTGGCCTTATTGAGTTGAATGGTTTGGAATTTTAGGTTCTGAGTTTCTTTAGGTGGGTGCTTGGAGCACAAGTTAATACCTGTATGTCACTCAGTTTTCCATGTATGTTTTTTTTTAACTTTACCATAAAGTTTAAATTTCCAATCCTATGCTCAATTTTACTGATATTTAATTGGCAACTAATTAATTTTACATGCCTCTGATTATGTGTTAGCTAAGCAAGTTGATAATAGGGAAGAAACTGATCATAGAAAAGGAAGTGACTTTTTAGATGTTTTAGAGAAACTGTGAACTATGACTGACTTTGAAAGTTTGTGCTGATAATCACATAGATAAGGGGGCAGAATCTGACAAAAAAGAAGACTCCTACAACAGGAACTCTTCTGTTACATGACTTGAAACAAATGGGTTTTGTCCTGTGTACTACAGGTACATTTCCAAAAGTGAGTTTTCTTCAAACTGCTTTTGATTGAAGAGACTTCTGTAACAGATGTTCTCAGGTCTAATGGAAATGTTCTCCTGTGCTGCCAATTGGTGTATTTATTGCCAACCTCAAAATGTAAACTGATCTTTATAGGTAGAGGAAGTGGATAAAGGATTTTTTTCCTTCTACTACTTAATTGTATCCACTCCAAACCTGAATTTAGAGTAAACTGATTTGATCACACCATTCAATTCCAGGAAAATGTGATACTGATGGAACTTCTTTGAATAAGCTATCACTGTTTGTGTACATTTCACCTTTTAAGTCTGCTGCAGATTTAGTTACACAATCTGAGTTATCAGGATTGCAGACCAGAAGGGGAAAACCAAAGCAAATATTCTTTAAAAATTTGGTAAGTTCAGGAACTATCAGAATAAAGTTTTTAATAAGCTAAAATCTGCAAAACTCGTCTAAAAGTAAAGATTCAAAAGACTAATCTTTCTTTAGGAAGTTGGCTGCACAGAGACTATGGTGTTTTAGTTATGCCTAATCCATCTAGAACCAGTTAAGGATGGTTTATGTGCCTCTGTCTAGTACACTAGTCAATATGCTGTTAAGAGTAAAATAACCTACCACCCCACCAATGCCATTAACACTAATTTATAACTTCCTAGGACTTTACCACTGTGTTAGATCAGAGGTTTAGGTATTGAAAGTGTCCTTGAATACCTGCATATACAAATTTATGTAAAAACCCTGACCCCTGCTTATTTGTGTGCTGTAATGTTTTAATGGAGACTGATTAGTCTGATCAGGGTGCATACCTCTTGAAGATGCCAGTCATTCTGTATTCTGAATGCTGAGACTAAACAGCCATGTTGTCAGGCCCTACATACAATCTGGTTTAGGGCTCAGTAGGAGATTTTGCAATCAAATTCTCAACTTAGCAAAATGAAAACCTCACCTACTCATGAGTGGCCTCTATTGGTTTTGTCTGTATTTAATTGCACTTCTGTTGAAGCATTTACTGGTGAATGCTTGATTTAATAAGATGATTTAGAGATCTATAATAGATAAAACAGTAAGCAGCTACCTTTTTTTTTTAACAAAATAATTGTAGAATCCTTTTTAAGGATCCTTTATTACAAAGGATTGAAGTACAGACAACTTAATCTGATAGACAGTATTCAGTGACAGGACTGAATATGGGTTTAACACTCATTTAATCTGCCCTGGACTGGCAGTGAACTTCACACCTCTTCCACCTGCTGAATCAGATCCATGGTATTTCTATTTAGTGCCAGTCCATACCATGTTCTGCTAAACTAGACCTGTCATTCTTTGCTTTTTTTAAAGTAAGTGGTGTTTATATATTATGTAATAAAAATGTAAAACTTAATTGATAGATGAAGCTATCCTGTGTCTTATTTCAACTTCCAAAAGTGTTTCATGTGCTCAGTATTTTCTCACTTGCTGTGCAGGTTGCTTTAAGTAGTGGTTTCTAAGCCTTCATGCTTTAGGGACAATGCAGAGACTGGGTAGCAGTTTTTGGTAAGGATTGCTTGGAGCTCCCAAATAACTTTATTCAGTTAATAAAAGATGTTTGTCCTCTTTGAACACTGAACCTGGTACTTAGAAAAAAACCACATAGCTCAAGGACTATTCCTGCAAGCTATTAAACAGTAAATGTATTGGTGACAAGACCCTATCCTCTAAACCACCACTGTTTTGACAAATCTCTCCTTTTTTTTTCTTTAACCCATGACACAGAGTTGGTGGCAAGCCAGAGGAAGTGTTCTCCCATCTATCAGTCATTTTGTATGATACAGCAACTCAATAAACCTTTATTAAATGCAAGAGAAGTTGTGCAGGGTTACATCGTACATAGAGAAAAGAACAACTTACAATAGTGCTGTGCTGCAACAATTTATTTTTTCTTGGAACTAATTTAAGACATAAACCTAAGGCTGCAGACTGAAACAACAGAACATCCAGTATGCTCCCATCACTCCTCCACTCCAGCTTTCACAAGGTCTGCTGCCCATTAACTTATTTGTAAGGGGCACAGGCTCAGTAGTGACTTGAAGTGTTACACTCAAACTTAGTGAAAACATAGAACAACTGAGTTTAACAAGGTAATGCTGTATTTGCTGTATAAAAAGTCAAGTTAAATATCAAATCCTAGTAATTATACAATCTCCACAGTATTTTTTTTCTGTAGTAGCACATATTTATTCCTGAACTCTTTTCTTCAGTTTGAGATGAGAAGCATATACCTATGCAACAGTCATATAGTAATGCCATAGGTTGACCTTAATCATCCATGAATAAGTTCACCACCTACTTGCTTACTGCATTTGTGGGAAAAACAGCAGCATATTCATGCCCTAGACAGGGTACAGGTGTGCCCTATGATTTTTCAGCTAACACCTGCTGGAACATTCCAGGCTTATGCATGAGGACCCTGATGACAGACACAGATCAAACTTTTAAAGTCAGTACCACCTCTGCAAGGTGTTGATGTTCCAGGCTGACACTGCTTCATTGCAATGATGAGTAATGATATTTTTCAAAAAAGGTCCCCTGTTCAAAAAGGACTTAGAAATTCTAGAATTGCTCAGATCATTGATTTCTAAAGGCTTTAAGTAGAATAATACTGCAAAAATATTTAGAAAACTAGATTAAGGCATGTAAAAAGCATTTTAACTTCCTTACAGTAACAGTACTATGATTAAAGGTGCTCCAGCACTGTGCTTCTTATGGAACTTCACTATACACAGTGTCCATCACATCCACTGCATTGAACATGGTCATGAGCCACTAAGCTTTCTCAGTGACAATCTGCATTTGATGCCCCAAATCTCATCACTCTTTTTACTGTCAACAGTTGCCCTTGCCACAGTTGTAAAAGGTTCACAGTTGATCTTTATGTCAGGAAGCATTTCCTGGAGGAGCTGTAGGGACCTATCAGTCACTAGTCCAAATACCTGAAGAGTCTTTAATGTTGGAATTTCACCAAGTTGTCTAGAAAGATAAAAATTTGAAATTAATCATGAACCTAAAAACTCTTTTGCAGTCTGTACCCAAACTAGATAACTGCATTTCTACTAATTTTTCAGAAGTAACTACTTAAGCTAAATTCCCCTTCCTACTTTTTAAAAGCACATATTTAATTGGAACTAGTTCTCTGTACTGATAATTCTGTAAATTGGCTGAATAAATTGCTGCTTGCTGATCTCTGAGTGAAAACAAATTCATTCCTACCCTTTTGTTTCCCTGAACTTAAATATTTAAGAACAAGTAGAAGGAATTGCCCCAAGTGAACCTTCAGGATGTGGTTCAGAGGCCACAAGCCTTTATGTAGTATCAGTCTCCAATTTGTTAGGACATTTTGGTAAGTAGCCAGCCCTGGCTTCTTAATTGCTTCATGTTTGCCCACTCACCATGTGACCTGTGTATCTATAAGCAAGTATCAGACAAAACTGAAAGGCAGACACACAAGCTATCATCATGAGAACACAGTGCTACAGTAAAGGTTCTTCAGAGTCACATTTTTATAGTCTTGTCCCTCTAACAATCTTTTTCATGTTGATCACTTCCTTAGGATTGACATACTTCCTGAGAAGATTAAGATGGATAGATACTATACTAATAAAGGCAGAAAAAACTCACAGGCAAGTAACTAAGCTGTGTTTCAGTGGCAACCAGTAACTGACACAGGTGCACACAAAAGCAAAGGGATATAAATATATCAGCTAATCAGCAAGTACTGTCAACAGTGTTAACTTTTCCAAACTATATCTTACTTGCTGCATAATCAAAAGCCTAATATTAACACCAAGACTGGTCATTGGTAGGACTGGAACCTCCAGCTGTACCTCACAGTACTGAGTACCAGTAGTATAATGCCATTAAGGGAAGACACAATGCATGCACTGAGCAGCAAGTTCCATGAGCACTGACAGACATCATGGAAAGATTATCTCAGATCAGTTCCACTCTGCATTCTCAAAGGTACATGCTATAGCACTCAGGTTCTTATCTCAGTTCCTTATTCCTAATTTGTTGTATCAGTGACTTTTCAAGACAGTACTTGCAATTCTAAATGTAAAATAAAGCAAGTTTAAATTATCCTCTGTATGAAAAGCAAACCAAAGCCATTTAGAAGTTACTTACACTATGGCAGCAGGTGTTAGCTGATAACATCGGCTAAGACACAGATGTTCTAGGAAGGGGAGTTGATGAAAATACTGGAAGCACTTAAGATTCAACAACACACTGTCACTGTACACAAGAGCATATGAAGGAGGTTTAAGTATAAAGCAGAAGTAAACCTCGTATTTCCACTACTTTTGCTACCACTAAAGTATTTTTTTGCTCAACATGGAAGAAACCCATTTCTAGCATGTGTGTTGTGGGGGGATGATTTTATTTTTCCACTGGGACAAGTGGAAAGGTCAAGTGAAGCACAAGCTTCTCTGCAGGCAGATATTCTGCAGCAAACTCATGCCATGAAAAGGCAATTGCTTTACACAGACACTTCAAGTTATTTTAACTGACTCAAAACCAAAATACTTTTTTTCTTTTTTACAAATTTATTACTTGGCCATAGATCTGTATCAGAGCTGAACTAAACCCTGTCTAGGATACTAGGCTCATAAACTGGATGCATCTAAATGCTTCCTTCCACTCTACCTATTGACTACCATCACTTATTAGTTAACAAATCCTGTATGTTTGTAACATTCATGCTGAGGTAACAAAGAAATCTTCAAGTTAGTTACCTGCTCCAGATTAGGTCATGCCAGAGAGCAAATCTTTGTAGGTTTAGCATAAAAAGTGTATTCTGGTTGTGCAACCCTACACAGTCATGCATTATTGCTATATAATTACTGCAATGCAATAGAATTTGCAATTCCCTGAATCATAAAGATTTAAGGAGTAGCTGCACAAGTCTTCTTACCTTAGGTCTAAATGGAAAAGTAAAGGACATCTTCCCACCAGTGTTTTAACATCTGAAAAGAGGTCACAGAGTCAGTGTATTTCAGTGACAAGACATATGTGCTTTATACAGGCTACTCACTTCCATGTATGTTCATTTATACCTTTCCTACTGTAATTCCACAACTGAAACAACTTTTTGTTAAAGAGATACACAAGACTGTCTATCAAGATACTTTACACAGACTTTTTTTTAATCCTTAGCAAAACAGATCCCTTTAGTCCAAAGAAATGTCCCTAAAAATCAGTTGAGCAAGCAACTTGGAGTAATTCAAATGATATTGCTGTGGAAATCTACCAGGACACATAAATGGTGAGATGCCTGAAATTCTTCCATGTAGTGAAAAAATACCAAAAATTTTCCACACATCAAATATCCTTTCAGAACATCAAGTTCTTTAGGCATCTCCATTTTACCCACAAAAAGTTCTTTCCTCATGAGAGAAAGTTATGGTTTTCCTGATCGAAACTAAATTCTTGAGACTATCTTTCATTGTCTGCAAATAGCATAGAATCACCTCTGGCTCAGATATCACCTAAAAGGCCACTATTATTAGCAAGGTGCTAATCAACATGCAAGAGGATTTTGGTATTTAACATGCAAAACCTAAAGAAAACAATACCTAAATTATTAGTGAACTATTCAAATTTTACACCTTATAAGCTGCATTGAAACAGAGTGAAATTACTCATAGAATGTGTTTTGCAACCAGAAGAGCTCAGCACATTGTCTCCAATGGTCAGATCGACAGAAGGTTCAACTTCCTGATTGGAAAGAGATTATGTAGCAGGTTTGTTCATGGGTTTTCAGCTGAGATAAAGACAACTAGTGTATTTCCCCACAAGGGAATGCATGCAGAGATCTGTGTGACATTTAAACAGAAAAAAGTTCACAGCCTGTGTGTCACCTACTTGCTTGTCAGCCAATGCCCTAATCACCAATTTTCTCACTGTGAAAATTAATTACTCTTTCCCACCGAAGCCATTTCAGTCTTTACCTATGCTCTTGTCCATTCTGTTGTGCCCTCTCCCCAGATCTAGATTTCTCTGAATTTTCTATTACTCAACAACTTTACCCAACTTTTCTTCCTGAACTATTAGTAAGTAAATAGTTAAATGTTGATTACCAAGATTATTTGCCTTCCAAATTAACTGGTATCTGTAGGACATCATGTCCTCAAGTAGTAAACTCAGGTATTTATTATGATGTTCTCTTTTGGAAGGTGCTGTCCTGATTTCAGCTAGGACCAAGCTAATTTTTCTTCTTAGTAGGTAGAACATTGCTGAGTTCTGGATTCAGTATGGGATTTCATATGAGACTGTTTACAATATGCTGATATTTTTAGTGTTGCTAAGAGATAAAAGACTTTTCAACTTCCCATATCTTGTCTGTGTGCAGGTGCACAAGAAGCTGGGAGAGAGCACAGCCAGAGCAACAAACCCAAATTGGCCAACAGACTATTCCATATCATACAGCTTCATTCTCAGTCTATAGATGAAGGCTGGCCAGGAAGCTAGTTGGTTCTCTCCTAGGATTGTGGTTTCAGGATTTTCCTCCTCTGGGATCACTAGCTGTGAATGGGCTGGGCATTGGGTGGTGAGCAACTGCATTGTGCATTATTCATTTGTATATTCTATTATCATCACCACCATTATTCTAATTTTATTTCAGGTATGAAATTGTTTTTTATCCCAAGCTATGAGTCTCCTTATCTTCACCCCTCCAATTCTAACCCCCATGACCCAGCACAGGGCAGGGTGAGCAAGTGGCTTCCCAGTGTTTGGCTGCCAGATGGGTTTAAACCACAGACACCTTCAGCAACCACAATAGCAGAAGCTTTAACAAGGCTTCAAGAACTGTATCTGGAAGGCTAATCCACAGTTTACAGTGGAACATGGGATCCAGTGTATCCTGCTTCCAGGACTTACTTCAGAAGCAAGGGCTATACCTTTCAATTGAAGATAAAACGAGCTTTTTCGTCTATTTTTAAATTCAGAAGACAATCTCATTCTCATGGCTGAACCAGACATACAAGTAAGATTCTCTGACAGCAAGAACATCAAGCTGTACAGCACAAAAAAAAAAAAAAAATCAATGTTAGAGTATGATTTTTCTATACACAGAGCAGATGCCAACAAGAACAAAATATAAAGCCTGCTGCTTTGTCCCATAGTGGAATAAGTCTTCCATGCTGCTACTTACCTGATATTTGTAGATTGTGTCTGTATCCACTTAAATTTAATTGGGTTATTTTTGTACTAATATGATTGACTGCCACTTTGACATGAGCGGCTGTGAAGTCACACCAGGACAAGTTCAGCTCCTCCAACCTACACAAAGAGTTGTTTGGAAGAATGATTGAAGCAAAGTTCAAGTTCAATATTATCTATTACAGTTGATACTTTCAAGGCAAAAACTTGTAACACATCTACTACCAACTTCCTGTATTCATGACTACAAGTTTTGCTATGACAATAATTAAGCAGTGGAGCAGGTTGCCCAGTAAGCCTGTGGAATCTGTCTTTCGAGGTTTTCAATATCCAACCAAAGCAAGTCCTCATCAACCTGGCCAGTGCTGATTTTAACCCCTTGCCCAGAGCAGGGTCTAAAGTGACTTACTTCCCAAGGACACTTCCAACTGGAGTGATTCAATATTATCTTTGGAAGTGAAACAGTTCTCTGGAGACTGCCACTGGGACACTATCTTTTAATCTTGCTTCTGGGTTTGTGACCTGAATCTGCTACTACTGAACAGATGTTCACATTGAGAGGAAAAAAGGCTATTAGCAGTAGTCAGATGACCAATTAATCCTAATTAGCATAAAATACTTCATAGTTTTACATAAGCACTGGCCACACAGTGACCTTAACTCTCTTTACATGTTTTGTTACTTATAGGCTACCACCATTCAGGGCTGGGACAATGTATTTGTATTGTAGATGTAACCAGAGGACAAAGACAGTGGACAGCACAACTAGAACATTTAGCTGGCAGCCCCCCGTAAATGAAAAAAACAGTTAAACTGCCACTAGCATTCCTAGGATCAGGTTTGCCATCTGCTATTCACTGTGCACTGTACAGACTACCATGCTCTAAAGAGCTCATGATCCAAGTAATCAGACCAAGCAATAGAAAGCATTACCTACCCATGAGAGGCAGAGAAAGATTAAGGCTTTTTCTGTCCACTAACTTACAGTTTGATTAAAAACATGCGCTTGCAGAAGCAAAGATTAAGTAGATTGTCCAGCATTTCACAGGAAGACAGCAGAAAAATCAGGATATAAATTCCAGACTGACTGTGTCTCAGTTCAGTGACTTCCTGCCAGCAGACAGTTTAATTGCTGGAGCTGTCAATCTGAGCACAGTGCTTCATGAAGAAGGTTTCTGAAGGATTATTCTATCATGAATGGAAAGGCACAAAGTTTTCTGCTAATCATGCTGTACTCTGATTGCAAAGAGAACTGTAGGACTCCACTTTTCAGTTTCAAAACACACACTTTCACTTTGTGAGGATCACATACAGCTTTCATTAAGAAAATTAAATTTACATTATAATCAAAAGAACATAAGTGGGGTTTACCCACCAATAAGACTTCATTTAATGGTGATTAAGAAAACTCATGAAAAAATACTGAAGTACATCTTTGCTACTGAAGAAAGTAGCTTGATGGAAAGAAACTGACTATTCAGCTAATAATCAACTGCTAGGCATTTAGGAACAGAAACAAGCTCATCAAAATCAGAGACAAGTACAGTTGGCATGCCTATCAAAAATAAAAAGTATCCTTTTTCTCAGGAATAGCAGTAAGTAGGAATAAGAAAAACTATTTGTCTTACATAGAACAGCTTCTCAACATCAGCTCCAAGCTTTCTGCAGAAAACCCTGAGCACCCAGAGATATTTAGTCGTATCAAACCAGGATTATTAGCAATGCTCCTGTAGAGAAGAAAAAAGAAAAGTAAAATTTCATGTTAGAACATAGCTTGCATTGCTAGGATGTGTAATTATTTTTAAGAGCTAAGATCCAAGGCACAAAATCATTTATTAAACATGCAGTACTGCATCTTCAGTAAACTGACCAACTTGAAGAGTCACTAAGAATCTCAACACTGTACTTGCTGCATCACAGCACAACTTTGAGCAGGATACTTGCCTATTTGCCTGACATCCCTGACAAGTCTGTATAATTATAAAATGCTAAGTTTAAAAGAAAACAATTTCTTTCATTTCATCCTGGTGTATGTCATTAAATAGGTGACATGGCTTATTAGAGGTAACTATATCTCTACAAAAGACAAAGCAATCATCCCATTTCCAAAGTTAACCCTCTCCAAGATGGAGGCTATTCCAGAAAAAAAAACACGTCCAAATAGCATCCCCCTGAATGCAATTGTTAGCAAGACTAGAGCACACATGCAGTTGGCAAAAACTGGAAAAAACCTTACACCCAGTATCCACATTTATACACAAGACAATAAAATTCCATCAGTGGTCCCTAATTCGTGCCCAATTTTGAGACACTTTTAATCTAGTATCAAAAGCTAAACTATATGGGTTTATTGGTTGTTTCTGTCCCCTCTGGTGTGAGGAAGGCATCAGAAAGCTCAAAAGTAGAAAGCAGGACATAGAGAGTCTCAGCTACCTGACATATGGTCCCTGGCACCTCCACAATGACCTGATGCGATTGAACAGGAGGTTGACTGCACACATTTCCAGTTTAACCAAATAGTTAATCTGCTTGACAGAATCTGTATTTTTCAGACACTCAAGAGTGAAGTTCAACACAGAAGTGAGAAATAGTGCAGAAGCACAACAAACATCTGCTTCTGAGACCCCTTAAAAGAGAAAGGAACCTCCACACCAAACAAAGTTCTCTTGGGAGCACAGAAACGAGAAAGTAAAAGTAGCTCTGCTGTACAGCTTGGCTGCAGGTACAGTCAATAAACACAAACTGTAGAGATAAGCAGTTTCTCCAAGTTTCTGCTACTCTGAAGAATAAAAAAAGCCACCAGGGAACACTCTTCCAGATGGGTGTTTTCCTCCTTACTTCATCTCTTGGAGGATTGAGAGGATGGAGCCCACTCATCTAGCCTGCCAGCTCACTCTTATGTGCCTAGAACCAGCCATTTCAAAAGACTCCTGCAACGAACAACTCAATTGCATTTTTTTGCCAGCCTGCACAGTATGATAGCTCCAAACAGAAGGTATTTACTGAGTATTCTCAAACATGTCACTCACTTCATGATGTCGTCAGAAAGCACTAGTCCCTCCAAGCTGAGGTTCTTCAGGTTTTCACACAGATTAAGAATACTATGGACATCTGTGGCAGACACTGTGCAGTTTGACAAATCCATATGTTGAATTTTGAGACGTCTAAAAAGGAGAAATGCAGGTTAGTAAAATTGCATTAAAACCTGCTCTCCAAATTCCCCATACCATAAACATAATACACTAAAACTATGCAAAGCTTTTAGAAAATTACACCATTATACTTAGCTGCACACTGGACATACTACCAAGCATATTGGGCCTATGGGTTAGCTACCCGCCAAAACTGCAGAACTCTTCTTTCAAGGCATTTACAGGATTTGTCATAACATCTGAAAGTCTATCTTGTTGGAGCTAAATAATTTTTCTGAGTTTCCCATACAAAAATGCTGGAGATGCTGATAATTTTTAGTTCTACAATATAGAAATTGCAAGTGGATGATGGTGCTTGACACTTTCAGAAAAATCACATTAACTTGGTTTTAAATAACTGACAGGTGAATGCACATCCACTTATTTCAACACATGCCTAATCATTGATCAGCACTTCCACACTCCACAGAGAGCATAAACACTATTGCTGGTGGGGACCTTGAAATCAAAAATACAGAGAAACTGAATATTTGAGATGTGGTTTCAGCATCCAGAACATGCAGAAGAAGCCTTACTTGCTTGTATTAAACAACGGATTCCCAATAAAAGATCTTGGGGAGCGAAATACAACAACACCTGCAGGCAGCAACTGTCCTAACACTCCTGGCTGCAGATGGCTACCAGTCAGATCGAGGCTCTGCCAGAGAGATTCATCAAACCTGCAACAGAATTTTACTTGTTAGTGAGTCAGAAAGAGTCAGAACTACAAGCATAGAAAGCTTTCAGTGTCACAAAAGACTAGGGGGAAGGAAAGTTATTTAATAGAATCTACAATGTTAAAATACATGAGCCATCTTTTGATTATACATGTAACCCACATACAGCATATACTAATTATACACGAATAAACAAGATGAGAACCAGATCATTTAATAGTCTATAGAGGCAAAGTTTAGTTTAGTACTTCTTAGTTTAGTACTTCTTTAGTACTAAGAAGTACTAAAGTACTAAACTATGAGAAGTAATACTTACGAAAGACGACGCCATCTCTTACAAACCAGGGAAGCTTCTAGCAAGTCATTTAGGGGCAAATATACAAAGATTGCCAAGAGCAATTCGTCTGGAATTAAATACCATGGAACACCTTTAGAGAAAGAGCAAACATGTTTAGTTTGCTACGGAAAAACAGTTTCCCTGAAAAAAATGACAATTTTTATTCATATACTTGTTTTAGAAAAAAGAGACTTTCAGTTAGTTGCTTTGTATTCTAGGGCTTCTGCTGTCCTCTTTTTTTCCCCCAGCTGAAGTGCACATGTATGTCAGGCTCCCAGAAGGGAGCCCAAGGTAAGCTATGTTTTTGCATGGTACACAGAGAAGAGCAGGTATTGCAAACTGCTCGTTAAAAACATGCACACTAACCACCCCCCCCCCCAAGAATTATCTGACAGGATGTGGTGGGAACTCAGCTTCTCATGAGTAGATACATGTTGCCATTCACACTGGAGATTTCTGGGTGATGGAACTCAAGAACAGCTGCCCATGACCCAGCACTCCATCCTATTTAAAAGCAGGGTTGTCTGAGGGCATTCCCACCTTTCATATGACATCTTAAGTGTCTGGAGAGGGCTGTTTCTTTACATTCCATGGTCGCTGCAGACCGAAACCATATTTTGATACCAGGGAAAGAACCCAGTATCCTATAACCCCTTCTACAAGGGCCCCAGGTCTTCAGGTTACAGCCCTGCTCTTTCCCTGCCAGTCCCTTTCCAGCCCAGGAGCTTTACACCCTTTGCTGCACCCTCTCTGTAGCTATCTGGCAGTCCTTTGCATTGCTCACAGCTCAGCTCCAACAGCAGCTAGGATGCTGCCCCTCTGGCATACATCAGCCTGCACTATGAGAGATATGGATCAAGATCCCTTTGGTCTTGAGGGCCAAGTATCTTACTTAGATGCTTACAGGAAAAAAAAAAAAAAAAAAAAAAGGAAAAAAAAAAAAAAAATAAAAAAATAAAAAATCAAGCCCCATCCTGGGTTTCAAAATTATATTGGGAACAGCAGTGCCAATGGTCCATATTCACCTGGTAGCCACAGCTGTATTCTGTGAGAAGCCTGACCCCATTTGGTATGTGGTGAAACATCTCATGGAATGGGTCCCTCAGGCAGATGCAGCTCAGAGCCCTACTGGGCCAAGGTGCCACCGAAGTCCCAAGCAGCATGAGCAGACAGACACAGGGACATGCAGCACAAACCCCCAGCACACAGAAAGGGGTTGGCAGGAGCCAACCACAGCTTATGTGAATTTCCCACAGTTATGGAGCCAGACACCACCTCTACTTAAAGGTTTACATAAAACACTGCTCATTAGCCCAAGCCTGAGAGCCACTAGATCTAGAAGTCCCCATTACGCTGAGATAGAGAAAAAAAACAACAAAGACTAAAGTATTAATGATTTGTGATACCCACTCTCTACCCCTTGTGAAGGGCAAATAAAACCTGGACCAGAGTGACAGTACCTGGATCTTCTTGAAGCAGCTGAGACTGCTGTGCAATAAAGTCCTTCACCTTCTGCCGTTTTGGAGGACAAGGCAACATCGCCAGCAGGTCCTCTGGCATGTTTTCAGAGCCTGTCTTGTCCTTTTTAAGAACAGACACTCCCATGCCAGAGAGAAACTCTGTGTTCTTACTCGCATCCCCGTCCCAGGTGAAGCTGGTAGAAACATTGCTGCTGGAAGACGGGATCTCCTGGAGGTGTTTTCTGCAGACACAGCAAAAGCCACAGGCTCTCAAGGTACCGCCAGACTGACACCAAACACGGGACGGAGCTACTCGTGCAGAACCATTCCACAGCTACACAAAACCCACGTCCCGCTGCAGGGCGGTTACAAGTGTTGGATCCGCCGGCGCTGGAAGCGCAAGTAGCGGAGGCGTGTGGTCGGTAGAGCCACGCTAACAGCCCGCCGGGGGCCGAGCGCACCTGCTCCCGGCTGGAGCAAGGGAGCGAGCGGAGGGCGCTGGAGAGAGAAGACGATGGCGACGTGCCCCTGTACGCACCCCATCCACCACCTCCCCGCTAACAAAACCCTGCCACGCAAACCCAGTACAGCCGGGGACCCGAGCACTGCCGGCACCCAGCCCGCGGCAGAGACCGGGGGAACGCCCGGGGAGGCTCAGCGGGAGCCCCACGCACGGCGGGG